CTCACCTTCCCTAGTGCTGGGATTGCAGACCTGTGCTACCACACCCAGCTCAGACAGTTTTTAAATAACTTTCTTTTTTTCAATTAAAAGGAGATCATAATTGAATAGCGGAAATTTGTAGTATATATTCTATGTTTTTATTGAAAAGTTCAATACTTGATCTAAGTTCAGTACTCATGTGATACTGATAGTTCTTCATCAGTGTGAGGCATAAGAAAAATTTTATCACCTTCATAATTAATTGCTAAGTTTTAAAGTATAAGAAAATAAATGATGTAAGCAAAACAAAACCAAATTATAGGACCTCTTTATGCAAGGAGTAAAGCCAACTCTCATGACTTCATGACTTTGGCTATGCTTTTCCATTATGGCCCAACACACCTAAAGCTCTGCCAATATTTAACTGTACCAGAATTTCTTCACTACTAAATGAAAGGACATCTATTTATGGAGATAGTAGCAGAATTTTCATTGTGACAATGATAGGAATGTTTATTTTAGTAGTTATTGCTAAGAACTATCTTTTGACAAGAATGTGTATATGCATGTGGTTGTGTGTATGTGTACGCTTGTGTATGAAACTAATAGGGAGAATATTTCTTTTCATCATTCTATAAAATCCAGTGAAGAAAATTTAAGTATTTATGTGCTTTTTAGATCTAAAATTTATGTAGCTTCAGAGTTTATTAACAAAAACTTGCAAAGATATTATCTCAGAGTTCATTTTTCTCAAAGTGTTTACAGAATCTTGAATGGCATGTCTTTGTTCTCTCTTGTACATAATCTAACAAGGGGTGTTTTCAAGTACCAATGCAGAGTGATGGTTATTTATAGTCAGATAGTATAAATGTATCGGCAGTGTCATACAAACCACTAAGTAGTTCTCCAAATGCTTACCTATCTGTCCTATTAAATGTCAATGGAGGCTTTTATTTGAACGTGGTGTTTAAAAGTAAGACATAGGGAAATCCTCCATGAGATCTCACAAAATGAAGGAAGAAATCATACTTGTTCTCTAGTCTGATTACCCTTTACAGAAGTGGAAAGTTGCTTCTAGGAGACCTACATTAACATAACTTTTCTGGGAATTAGGACAACATTTGTTTCCCAGCTGTTGAAGTTCCACTGCAGTAGCCGCCAAATGGAATCAGCTGAAATGCAGCGAGAGGTCCAATAGCTTCTACTGCTGTTGATTTTGCTGCCATAAAGTGGAAATCAGTAGTAAGATAGAACTGTGGCTAAAGAAATTCATAGTGTCAGCTTTAACTTATTATGTAGAAGCCATAAAAACTGTACAGTCTATTACTTTCTGGAAGCTGTCTTGCTAGACCTGAACTGCTAGCAACTTTTCAGTTTAAAGCTGAAGACACAGCTGATATTCAGTCAATACTCTTTGGAGTTAGTGTAACTGTTCCACTTGATACTAGACTATTGTCTTCTCTTGAGAATCTCTTTTCCATGCAGCCATCAATCTCCACTTCTCATCCAGGAACTATGAATAAAAATATATATTCTTTTTATTGTTTCTCTACAAACCAACATGGTGGTGTTAGAATTTTCCACATGATACATTATATTGGAAATGTTATCTTAATTTTATAAATGAGTTAATTTTCATCATCACTTTGTATCTTCACCATGGACTAGTAAGTGTTGGACTACCTTTTAATATATCAAAGAAAATGACTAGTGTCTTTTAGTGGGTAAATAATATTCAGGCATCTTCTGAATATGTTCTGATTTTCTTACAAATAAATGCATTTTCATCCATGAAAACATCTGGTTACTCTTTTTTTTTTTTTTTCATTTGATGTATTTTGAAATCTTGCAAAACAATGTTGTTGGAAAAATTTAGCATTTCAGAAGTACTACAATCAAATCCAAAGCTGAATGTTCTTTGAGTAAAAAGTGCTACAAGATGAAAACTCAAGGGAATGTGGTTAGGATAAATTTGGAGATTTAGAAATATGTAAAGGCTATTGTAGATGAAAATGGAAATGAAGCTTGCTTCTTAAAAACATGAATAAAAACATAGTCTTAATAGCATTGTTAGAATATTGCCAGGAATAACTGCTTTAAAGAGTGCAATCATCAGAAAACTGAATAACATATGGAAAAAATTTTAAAATAATATATTGTTTTATTTCCATTAGAGTCAATCATTGGGACTTCCACCAGCTGGTTTCAAAGATTATTTTTAGACTGACTTGTCCCCCTGAATCTCCTTAACTCATTTTCTATGGTCCTACAAACATGTTATTTTTTGTTAACAATTAGTTTAGTCAGTCTACTAATTTGTTTTTATTATTCAGTGAGCTGCTCCTGGGTCCAGGCGACTGCTAAGGAGACAGAGAAGACAACTGGTTGACTTGCTCACATTGCTATTCTATGTTCTCAGCTTGTGTCAAGATCTTGAATGGCCATCACTCAAGCCCTGTTGTGAAGTTAATGGCCTTCTGCTGATTTATGCTCCCTCCTGCCTGCAGTGTCATCATAGGTCACTAATTGCTGATTCTGGGGAGGCAAGATGGATGCGGTGATGCACTGGTTCCATGTGATAAACACTGAGCACAAAGCTTGAGTGTTCTATTTTTTGCCAGTATGTAACGCCTTCCAGCCCTGTACTCCTGACTTTTCTTGATAGTCCACATCTTACATAGGCAATAGAAAAGGCCTTAAAACACCACATGACTCATGAGGAAGCAATAAAGCCGTGTCTTATGTTCTCAGCATAAAGAATTTGGACTTAATTTTCTATAAAATACTTTTAGCTTGTTTTCCAAGTCCAAACCTAAGATAGGGTCAAAGCAAAATGAAGAGAATGGTAGAGGCTGTGGACAAGAGTTTAGGGATAACAAATATTAACACAGTTCTGTGGCAGTTTTAAGGTAACAACAGCGGTCAGAGATGGACAAAGGAAGCTAAAGAAAACTAAAGCAAGACAGCATAACTATCCTGGATATTGCCTCTATAACTGTAGCTTATATGCTTGGTGGTGAGAAAATGTAGGTAGATATAAGCAGTAAAATAATTGGAATTTCATTGCTGATAGACTTAGATAAATTCTCTACCCACTGTAATATCCTTTGTATAGACATGGCTTTAGTATATCCAGTGGGATCACCTACATCTGCAGTTAAGTCATTAAGGAATTAGGAAAACTCATTCTGCTTAATATATAGTGATGTGTGAAATTCAATTTTTTTGTGTGTCTTTTTAAGAAAGGGTTTCTCTGTGCAGTTCAGGTTGGCCTTGAATTCACTTTGTAGCCCAGGCTGGCCTTGAACTTGCAGCAATCCTCCTGCCTCAATCCCCTGAGTTCTAGGACTACAAGCATGTGCCACCACTGCCTACCTTGTGAAATTCAGTATTGAGAATTTCTTTTTAAAAACCAAACTCTTGTTGCCTGTGTATTTTTGAATTCAAAAATATTGCTAGACTAAAAGTAAATTTGTTATAAAGTTAGAAAAAGGTGATTTTTCTACTCGGAGATCTGAAGAGTAATCTTAAGCTTCAGTTGTAGTTCTGGCTAATTAAAGAAACTTATTAAAATGTATATAATGCCTTCTCAAGTAAATAGATATCAGGATGGATGGGTAAAATGACTGTTACAACTTACGCAAACTGTGAAATGCAAGTATAAAGTAGAAATTGCATTTTAATCTTTCCTTTCAAATTGGAAAATTTTATAGACTTTTTTTAGTTTTATTTTTATAGATTTTTGGACCCTTGATTGTTTTTAGCCCTTATTTGTAAAGAAAAATATTATAAAACTGTCAATAGCTAAGATTAACTAAATTAATTTGGGTTCAATTTTAATGAAGTTCTTCATTGAGAAGGTTATAAAAACATAATGTTATTACTTTCAAACTTAAAAAGGAGGTAACTTTAGTCTAATAGTGAACTTTTGAGGTAAGATTGAAAAAGACACTGTTAATGTCTGTTTAATGTATAACCAGATCCTCTAAAGTTGACAAATAATTTGTTCTTGAGTCTGCTAAATATTTATTGGTTTAGCAGATTTGGGCTAATGATTTTTACCTGTCTTTAAAAAGCCAAATTTCAGCCTGTCCTCATCTTTATGCATATTATCAGAAAGGCAATATCTGGCCATTGGTGAGATTTTAGCAGCTCGTTTATTTCGCGATGTACTTATTTCAACTGTTTCAAGTCATTACATACTTTGGGTCACATTTAAAACTCATGTCTTTTGGTTTGTTTGTTTGTTTAAGTGCTTGATTGTCTAAATTTGAGTTTTGGAATTTTCATTTGGAATTTATGACATGTGTTTCTGAAAAATGAGAGAATATGTTGGTTTAGGGATTGAGATTCAAATTCAATGTGTTCAAAAAAATAAAATTGCAGAGAGATTTGGTAAAAGGATTTTTTTTCCAAAGGTCATGTGTGCTTAGCAATTTATCCTATCACTTCTGATATAACACTATATTCATTGTTCATTATAATAATAACTTTTATCCTGGCCTCTAGTAACTTTCAGTTTCAATGAATTTGCTTTAAGATATATATAATCAAAGTAAACATTAACTGTATAAGTTTACCACTTTGCATCTTCTTAAGAACATCTTAAGTGAAATTTTTGTGTTTTCCTTTACTTGATTTTAATACTTAAATTCTTGTATGAGTTCTTCTTTCACAAGTTTGAACTTTTAGCTTATTTTGCTGTATATACCTATACTTCCTTTAGCTACTTTCACTTGCTGTGATAATGGGTTATAAAAGTCTAAGCCAGAGGTATTTTTATTCCCTACACAATCATTTCCTTGAAGTACCGTGTTTAAAATTGTCTATCAAATTGACAAAAGGTCAGCTTACTTTTACAAGGTGAAAGTCATGGGCTTGAAAATAACCCTTACAAAATGATTCAACCAGAAAAGCATTCTCAGTAGTGTGTTTTATTTTAAACTTGTTTTTAAATTTTAATTATTAGCGGATCATGACTATAGTTCAGATAATCATTATATGCCATTTTTTTTCTTCAGGTCAAAAGGTGTGTTTTGCTGACGCGAAGCATCCCTGCTACAAAATGGCCTACTTCCACGAACTGTCCAGCCGAGTGAGCTTTCAGGAGGCTCGCCTGGCCTGTGAGAGTGAGGGAGGGGTCCTCCTCAGCCTTGAGAGTGAAGCAGAACAGAAATTAATAGAGAGCATGTTGAAAAACTTGACAAAACCTGGAACAGGGATTTCTGATGGTGATTTCTGGATAGGACTGTGGAGAAACGGAGACGGCCAGACCTCCGGTGCCTGCCCAGATCTCTACCAGTGGTCCGATGGAAGCAGTTCCCAGTACCGGTGAGTATGGATCCTGTGGAATTCAGTGGTAAGGGAGGGTTCTATGGCCTGCAGACGGGGTCAGATGTGTCAGGCAGAGGCCCTCAGAAGGCAATAGTAAGGGTTCCAACTGCTCTCTACGTGCAGGAACTGGTACACTGATGAACCTTCCTGTGGAAGTGAAAAGTGTGTTGTGATGTATCATCAACCAACTGCCAAGCCCGGCCTTGGGGGACCCTACCTTTACCAGTGGAATGATGACAGGTGCAACATGAAGCACAATTACATCTGCAAGTATGAACCGGGTAAGTCGTGTAGACAGAAGGGACAGATTTGGTGGGTTTGCTTGTATTAGGTTTGGCTTTAAGCTTTGTACTTTTGGCTCTGTTTCTGCTAGGAAATATGGGAGTATCATTCAACTTGTGCTATCACTCAGTGCATGGAGCTCTTTGTACAGTACGGAGTGAACTGCCCAAGGAGCTGAGGAGTAAATAAAAATATCTGAAGAGGTGTCTTTAAGAGAAGAGAATTAATCATTTCTAAAATTAAGGCCAAATTGTTTTTGTAATTAGATTTTAGGAATAATTAATGTCTATTTTAAAATATTTTCAATATGTAATATAGTCTGTGAAAGGTAGCTATGTTACCAAAGCACTATAGACTTATATATAGGAATAGGAGCTCCTCAGTTACTTTTTGGTGAATTTAAGGATACAAACAAACTTTCTCCTAGCACATCAGCTTAATGTGTCACAGCATAGTACTTGGCACAGGGGTTTCCATAAAAATCCAAGTAATCGTAGATCATTACACTGTAGTGAAAAACAGCAGGGGCATGTGACATGCTCTCTGATTCCCATTCTTTGAAATATGTCTCCCTAGTTAGCTTTCTTTTGAAAACACTAATTACTTGCCATATGCAGCAAATGGACAGATTGCACTGACTTGAGCTATTTTAGTGTGGTTTTCGGCTGCAAAGAGAAATTTGAATTACTTGAAATAGAACACCTCAAATGAATTGATATTTGACTAAAAGAAGGACTAATCAAGACTACATAAACTCATAATTTTTAAATCATGTGAGAAAGTCAAGTTAGACTTCGATTTTTTTTTTCTTCTCCTCAGTGTTTGAAAGTGTCATTTTAACTCTTCTGAAGGGCTGCCTGCTTGCCCTGGTAATATGTCTTTACAGAAGACAATTATAATCAAGAACTGCTGTTTCTATTATTCCCTTGAAATTACATGATTCCTTTTTTCATAAGATCATAAAGCATAGGGGATTATGTGGATTAGATTTACCCTTCTCTTGTGTTTATCCTGCTCTTCAGTACATTAGCCGACTTTTTATAGCCTGGTGAGTTTATTCTTTAACCCCTCTGGCTGCTGAATCCATCATTACTCTCCTGGAGACCTTTGCAAAGCTAAGTCTCTAATGCACCTATTTTCTTTGTCTTTATTTTTTCCCTTGGAAAAATATAAACTTGAGACTCTCTGCTATTTTAAGTTTGCTTAAAACTACTGAAGAAAATGAAGAACATATTATAGAACCTGCCTTTTCATTAGTGTGTATTAGTTATGCAGAATAATGGGTTTAATCTTGGAAGATTTGTAAATGTATATAACATACTTTAATCATTTCCATCCCTTTTTATTTCCCCTTGTCCTTCTCTACCTCCTACTTATGATTCCCTTTCTCTTCTACTATAGAGTATTCTAAATGCAGTACTGACCAATCCTTTGTTTTGAGTTATTAGCTCATCAACTTGATACTTTATTTTATTGTGTTTTTATGTGCACTTACATCATAAGATTTATTTTATTTTATTTTATTTTATTTTATTTTATTTTATTTTTGTCTTTTTGAGACAGGGTCTCACTATGCAGTTCAGGGTGGCATTGAACTCACTTTGTAGCCCAGGCTGGCCTCGAACTTGCAATGATCCTCCTGCCTCAGCCTCCCGCGTGCTGGGATTGCAGGCATGCGCCACCATGCCTGGCCATCAGAAGATATTGTCAACCTTATAATCTACCTCTTTAGTTATTTTGTGTCAGTAATCTAAGTTTGTATTATCTATGTAAAAGCATTTAAAACAAAAGTATTCTGTTCCTTATCTTTCACATTCTCCCCAAATTTTCAAATAATCAACATTTATTAAAATATCATAGCCATTTTTTTATCACATATACAATGCAGAGTTATAGTTACTTTTATTACATACCTAAAATTTTCATAATTTATTTTACTTTTTAAAATTTTATCGTGTTCTATTTATTTTATTATTTATTTTACTTTAAAACATTTTATCTGTGTGTTCTATTTAGTTTATTTCCTTGAATGTAGTACCTCCTTTGGAAAAGATGTTGGCTTCATTAAAATTCCCTGGTTATGTTCTTGATTTTTAGTGGTGAGAGGGTTAAAAGATTAAGGAGTGTAGGCAATTAAAGTATATAAATTATAACACTGATTATTTTTGAGCTTTATTCTCCACCTTACCAGAACTACTGTGTGACGTGAACTTTCTGTTCCTACATGCCATCTAACAGCATGATTAACGATAACAAATGGGGTAAAAAATTATCCTGGCTATGGCAGAAATAAAATAACTCACTTTTAAGTTTTTCTTCTCTCATCTCTTTTTTGTAATTGATCTATGAATTACATATCTGTTCTTTGCTCTACCAGTGTCATGCAAAGGCATTTTCATGGGGACTCTTCTGAATCTAATTTTTCTATTAAAATATCTTATGCACTCTTTTTTTTTTTTTTTTGCCGGTACTGGGAATCGAACTCACGACCTTGCACTTGCCAGGCAGGTGCTGTGTTGCTGAACTAAATCCCCAGCCCCTTGCACTCTTGTTTTATATATTAATAATTTCATGTATGCAACTCAGTTTTTAAACTGTATTTAATCAGCAATCATTTTAAAGTTCATTGAAATCATTCAAAAAATAAGCAGTTTTATGTTCTACATTACTTATTTCTATATTTTTTGTTCAGTAAATATCAATTGAGCAATAACAAATACAGAATGGCCAAGTTTTACAGAAGAGGAATTATAAAGTATAGCTAAATCTTAAACTTAAAGAGTTAAATATATGTACAAACATAACAAATGTTACTACAGAATAATGTTTGATTAAATTTCAAATGATATTAAACAATATGAGTGGTAAACATTACTTTTTAAATAATGTTTTTATATTCTCAAGTCTATATAAGGTACTGCATGTGACGATTTTCTTCATCAATTAATAAAGATAAATAAACAGTTATATTTTAGGAACAAATAAAAAAATTACTGTTTTTCTTACTAATACAATTGACTTTCGCTAAAATATTAAGATAAAAAATAGTTCCTTATAAGAAAAATATATGAGACAGAATATTAACAGATCATGCTAAGAAATTTCAACTTTTTAAACATGTTTGGCATTGCACATATCTCATCACATAAAACCAGAAAAGAAACAACTTACAAGACTGAATTTCTGATTATTACTTAAAGAACTAGACACTATTGGGAACTGAATCTCAAAGTGGCAAATCTCAAGTAGGATAGAAATGTACTTTTAAAATGTTGCTTGCATGTTGAATTCCATATGTAATCCCCATATGGTCACCTGCCAATTATTATACAAAGAGAAATATAAATATTACATTGATATTGGCAAAGAAATTATTTTGTCTTTGCATTGCCTTTAATGTTTCTCTTATGTTCATGAATTTCTGCTAATCTTTGCTAACTTCCTTCCTGCTTTGTCATCATTGTTTGTAGCAGGCTATCACTCCCATAGGACCTGTTGCAGATTACTAAATGCAGTTCTGTATTGCATAGGGAGTTTGTCAAGTGACTCTCATTCAAACATAATTAAACTGACATTATAGTTAGATAATTCTATGTAGATTTAAATTCATAATATGTTTTAATTGTAAATTGTTCAGAAATTAGAATCAAGATATTTTTGCTGTTTATAGTAAACTTATTTTTATGTTTTAAATTTATATTGTTTAATCATTATTTATTATTACTGTACAAATTATCACAGAGATTAGCCCAACAGACCCTGTGGAGAAGCCTTATCTAACAAATCAACCAGGAGACACCCGTGAAAATGTGGTTGTTACTGAAGCAGGTAATTAGTTCATGTGTCTTATCAAACACAGAACTATCTTTTCCAGCGTGGTTTCACACTGATCCCAGGGAAATTCTCTTGTTGCATAGTAGTTGCACTATGGGCCCATGGTGATGGGCATGGTGGTGTATGAATGTAGGACTGATGCAGAAGGATTGCTGTAAGTTCAAGACCAGCCTGGGCTACACAGTGAGTTCAAGGTCAGTCTGAACTACAAACTAGAGCCTATCTTAACCACCCCACTCCCCAAAAAAGGCCAGTGGAACTTTACTTTTGGGCTATGTTAAAAAGATTTTATGCACTTTTGAATAGAAGAATTGTTTTTTTTTTTTCAGATTTTCACTTCCAGTGAATGTATCTGGTAGTAAACTAAGTAATCTACATTAAAATCTAGATCTACAAGGAGAATCACCAACCTATAGGTGTTATGATGTAAAGTGATATATTCAGTGGCCTGCAAACAGTTATGTGCTGGTAAATGCCTAGGGATTGGCCAGAGTGGACGTGAGGTAGAAAATAAAAGTCTGATTTGTAGCCTTTCTACTTCCATGATTCAAGTTCACCACACAGCACTTTGGGGGAGACACACAGTGAGCTTGACCCAGTTGCCTCTAGCACACCACTACCTATGAAGGAAGCAAAATACAGTCCCCTGTGCAAATTTCAAAGTAGTCAAGAGACTACTGTCAGTGTCACTTAAGGCCTTGTTAGCATAACCCAATTCCAACTGGACAGAAAGCTTTTGGTTTCCTGGATTTGTGTGTGTGTATAGATTAAAGCAAATGTCCAAAGTCTCAGCTCTGCAAGTGATACAAGACACATATAAAAGGGAAATATTTTCTCTTTTTCGTTTTCACTATGGATCAGGGATAAGAATAATTTTTTTTTCATAATCCAAACCCTTACCTGAACCCCAAAACAATGATAATTTGAAAAGCAAATATTTCATGACTTCTTCAAATATTTGAACTCAGCTATTGGAAGTTAATAAAGAAGGTGAAAGCATTGAAAATTATCACCAAATTATCCCACTACTAGACTTCATTAATGTCTTCTGTTAACAAAGAAAGTGACATAGCACTAAGATAATAGCCTGATTTATGTCTGTTCCATTTTGACCGGTTATTTAGATTATTTCTAATGAAGATTTGTGTTTCCAAGCTAAATGCATAGATTTCCAATTTGCATTCCTCCAATAGACATAGTAAGTTTTAGTGGGTTTCACTTCTCAATTGCCTGATTTTAAAAGCATTCAGAATACCTTGACTTAATTATGGATATAAGTAAGGAATATTACTTACACCAACATCAATATTGTCCATCTGATGACAATGAAACCTTGTTTAATAAAGTCATTTCACGGTGTATGGAACTTGAATATTTCAGGTTGTTTTTCCTTAATTTTAATAAGAATGCTTAATGTAATCAAGTGTAATAGAACAGGATTAAAAATGATTCTTTTTAGAATTTAATTAAGACCATGTCTTTGCGCCTCTGGAGTCATGCATCTCTGAGTTATGACTGCACTGTCAGTCAATATTTACACTTTTTCATTTAATCCAGAGATTTGAATAGCATTATAATACTGAACATATTGACCAGGACAATTATGTATCTAGTAATTCAACAATTTTAATAACTTCAAAAAACAGCACTTATTTCTCTAAGTAACAGTTGAGATGGATTAATGAATTGAGGTAGCTGAAAGCATTAATATATTAGGCAGCCTAGCCTCTGTCTGAATTGCAGAGTTAATCAGTTTTAAATGTACAGATATTGAATTTGAGCATGAACACTAGTACAGTACAATTTTGCTTTTAATTTTTACCAAAATGTGGATATACTATTTCATTGGATTTTCATTACTTTGGGGTGGGTCTTGTTTGGAGTCTATTTATCAATAATTTTATTTTACCTTAATTTGGGGAAAAATTCCTATGTTACCTTGGGGTTAGAGTCACCAACTATATTTGTACACTAAATCTGTTTTATTTTTGTAGGCATAATTCCTAACCTAATTTATGTTATTATACCAACAATACCGCTGCTTTTACTCATATTGGTTGCTTTTGGAACTTGCTGTTTCCAGATGCTTCATCGAAGGTAAATAATTTATTTATATAGAGATAATTGATAAAGTTTACATAGGCTTTCAGAATATTTGAGAGAATAATACTTTAAAGTTAATTACATTGTTACTTTACCTTTCAAAAGTCTTGACGTTCATATAGGCCAGCATAAATCCAGTTTTATGGGTGCACTTTAATCATAGAAGTCATGCAGTATCTCCTTTAATCCTCTGAAGCCTTGTGAAGTAGGTGCCTTTCTTTTCCTGTTCTTGATTGGGAAAATAGTAGCTTAGATGGCTTGCTTTGGGGCATGGAGCTAATGTGTGTGGTGGATCAGAAATGGGAATGCTGGTGTAATTATGACAGATGTATAAAACATATTGTGTCTCATTTATTAATAGTAATCCATTCAATCTGGACATCAAGCTTCACAGAAGACTTGAATTTTGTAGCTGCACCTTGTAGCACAATTCAGATTTCAAGTCATCAGGTTCTCTTTTATTTTAAAGGGATCTTTAAGAATACGAATTAAAGTATAGTGCTGAAAAGTAAGTCAGTATTTTCAGATATTTTGAAATATAGATAGATAGATAGATAGATATAGATAGATAGATAGATAGATAGATATAGATAGATAGATAGATAGATAGATTTCAGAGGACTATTTTAACTTTTCTACCTGCTTACCCATACGCCTTAGTTAGAGAAGTGATGCTTTTCTGTGTATGTTAGTTTTTCAATTAAATTTAAAAATGAAACAAAGAAATGTATCAAATCAGAAAGTAAGAGATATTGTGTTTAAATAAAAGCATGTTTGCTAGAATAAACTGAAATAAAGTGCATCTTCAGAATAGGCTAAAATAAAGGATATGTTTGACAGAATGTTTTAAATAAAAACTAGTCAAAAAATGCTTCTCTGCAAATGAAATCTGCAAGTGAAGCTTTTTTTCTTTTTTGATTTCATCTTTTTCTGAAATGAACCAAAAAGAATCCAGAAAAAAATAAGATAAAATAGGCTTAAATTCTAAATTGTTCACTTAAATTTAAAGGGATTTGACTTTCAATTAATTATGTGCTAAAACATTGTGAATGATGACAAATTGTACTTTGACTTCATAATATACATGTTACACACAATTCAAGACTATTTTTTGATATTTTGTACCAAAATGGTACAATAGTAAATATATTACTTCTTTCTCTAATTCCTGACTGTAGATGGAAAGATGATTTCTCATTTTGCACAGCAGTGAAGTAGAAGGATTAGACATAAATCCTTTATTTATCCAGCCAAATCATTAAGGGAGACCTGTAAAGTAATAAATCAGTTCAAGACACATTTTGAAGATGTGATTTAGACATTCATATTTGCAAAGTAAAGAGTGCTAAAGCACCAAGTAACTATTTTCTCTAAATTTTTTTCTCAAAATAATATATTATCATGACCATTTTATTCATTCAGTCTCCTAGATTTTCATAGCATGCAGGTCTGTGGTCTTTTCTCTTGTTTGAGGTTCTCATAGCAAGAACACAAACCAAAATGAAGCACCTCCAGAGGTCAAGTGTCTTAGTTATTTTTCTCTCATTGCTGAGACAAAGTATCTGATGCCCAAAATTAAGGGAGGAAAGTTTTATTTAGCTTATAGTTTGTGGAGATTTCAGTCCATATTTGGCTGGCTCCAAGGCAGAGTGGAACATGACAGAGAACAACAGTTTACGGTGTTGGAAAACAGCAAGAGTGGCAAGAGCCAAAAAGCAGGAGCATCAGTGGCAAGCCGCTTTCCCTGTCTTATATTGTATGCAGGCTTCCTTCCCCAAGGTGGGTATAGCACTCACACTCATAATCCCAGCATTGGATCATGAAGCAATCAAAAACTTGAGACCTGCTCCATGACCGCATGATGCTTTAGGGGGACATCTAGATACAAATCATAACATTCCACCCTTAGCCAGCAAAGATTCATGCACAACCCTTTATGCAAAAGGCATTTTAGTCCATCTCTAAGAGTTGCAAAATTCCTAATAGTTTCAGCATTGTTGAAAAGTCTCCTCCAACATCTAAGGCAAACTCTTAGCTGTGAGCCTCTGTACAAATGAAAAGTTAAACACTTCCAACATTCAATGGCACAAGATCAACATTACCATTCCAAAAGGTACAAACAAGGGGATACAAGGCATTGGGACCAAAACAAGTCCCAAAAACCAGCAGAGCTAGCATTATGTCCTGTATTTCCATGTAGAACATCTGAATCAATCTGTGGTAAATTGTGAGTTCCCAAGGCCTTACATGGTTCTGCCCCTATGGTACTTCTAATGTTTTAGTTCCCATGGCTTCTCTCTTGGGCCCTCTTTGTTCCCTCTTTGCAGCTTTCCTCAGACAATCCATGTTCCTGGCTTTTTCAAACTTCTGGGGTCTCCACTGCACTTTAGGCTTTTCATTCATAGCTTCACACACTGCCCTTTCAGGGACATACTGCCTGGCAATTTAGGCCTTCTGAAATCTAGATGGAAGCCTTCTTAACCTCAGAACTCTTGCATTCTGTGTATACCTAAAACCAGTGCCACGTGGATGGTGCCAAGGTCTGCTGCCACCTGGAGCAGTAGCCAAGCTTTCATTTCTCTTGGCTTTAGGGGTCAAATCCCTGGATCACTGAGCACTCTGAACCTGGTTCTGAGGAAGAAATTCTCTATACAACTGCCATTTTGGAATCTGGTGCAGCCTCCATCGCCATTCTAGAATGTGTTACTCTGTGGCTTTCTCTTCAAAGCAAAGTCTTTCACTTTTTCAGGCTGCATAGAATGGAGACTCAATCCCTCTTGTGATGCCCTCAGGCCATCTTTTCCATTCTCCTATTCATTCTCAGCAATGGAGAGCTCCTCAGCTCTATCTTTGTAGTCCACAGATTTACTGGAACTTCTTTTCTGCCCAAACTCACAACGTTTTAAATCATCTTGCTGGGCTCTTTGCTCTTGATTCTCAACATAAATCTTGCTAAAAGCCCTCAACAACAGCCATGCCACTGCCTCGACATTTGATTGTCTTGAAATTTCTTTTGCCAGATTAATTAGCCCATCACCCTGAATTTCAGTCTCAGACAAAGTCTCTGGACACAAGCAAATGCAGACAAACTTTCTGCCAAGACATAACACACATCATTTTAAGTCTAACAACCAACGCAGTTCTTCCCAGCAGAAACCTCCAAAACCTGGTCTTTACCAACAGGATTTCTATCAGTCTTCTGGTCTTCTGAGCTCTAACCAGAATCTACCATACAGAACAGCCGAAGTTGTTCTGGCACTTCTTTTTTAGGTGAAATCTCTGAATCTTTCCAAACTCATCCCACAAGCCTTTCCCAAAGGCTCTTGAACCACATGGTCATGTATAGTCACAACAACAGCCCCACTCCCAGTACCAAATTCTGTCTTAGTTCCTTGTCTCTCATTGCTGAGACAAAGTACCTGATGCCCAAAATTAAGGAAGAAAGATTTATTGAGCTCGCAGTTTGTGGTGATTTCATTCCATACTCGGCTGGCTCCAAGGTAGAGTGGCCCCTGGCAGAGGATAACAGTTCATGGTGTTGGAAAACAGCAAGAACAGCAAGAGCTGAAAAGGAGGAGCAGCAGTGGCAAGCGTCTTTCCCTCCCTTATATTGTATGCAAGCTTCCTGCCCCAGGTGGGTGTAGCATTCACACCTACAGTCCCAGCATTGGGTCATGGGTCAACCCCATGACTGCATAAGGCTTTGTGGGGACAGCTAGATACAAACCATAACACCAGGCTTAGCTGGAGTACTTCATCCACATGTTCTTAGTGCCTCCCCTTTTCCTTTCTTCCAGGAAAGCAAGGAGACACTGCATCAAAGACTCCACTCCATTATCATCTGAATGCCTTGCAGAAAGTTTAAATTCCACTCTGGTACACATGATGGTTTCTTTCATTCCATGTCATGTTCAAAATAACGCCTGCTCCCCTAACTAGTAGTAATTTTGTAGTGAAATACTAATTTTATGCAAAAGCCACATTAATAATTTAACCAATTTTTTAACATTATAAAAGGTTTTTTTTGTGCTTTTAATACACTCTGATTTATTTTCCATTCCAATTAGATGGCTTTGTAGAATAAAAGGAAAATCAATAAACCATGCAACTTAAATATATTTCAGCAGTCATAGAAACAGTTAAACTGAAGTGAATTAAGCAATATTTTTAAGTGGAATTGTCAGTTGTGGTTAGAAAGAGCCCCCTTCTGTCTTTGAAAGAGCTCCTCAGTGTCTGTTGTCTGAGATGGGGAGGGGAGAGGCCTATGGGCCTGGGGCACATTCTGGAGGTTTGAGGGGGTACTCAGGAGAGAAGGTAAAGAACACAGTGAAGAGTGAGAGGCAAAGAAGGGGGGCCCTGGGAGAGATCATCCTTAGGAAACTAGACCAAAGAATCCACATTGTGACAAGAGATCTGATAAAGAATAATTTAGGTAAACTTGTAAACCAACACTTCTGCAGGCACCTAAAAAGTGACCATTTTATGGGAAAATAGAAGCTGAAGCCCAGCAGGCTAGACACAAATTCCAACTCTAACAAGAGTAAAGTTATGTGTAAGAATTGAAGGAGGAATTCAGATACTCCTCAATTATCAGAGTTTATTCTTGAATTGCACTGGTTTCAGAGATGAAGGTACAATTAAGCGCTCAGGGACCAAGTCACTAAATATAGATGGGAAAAATGGCGAGAGGAGGGTGACAGGCAGCTCCTGACACTTAGAACCTTAACATTTGTTCTGATGATTTACTGTTAAATTCAGCATGCATTTTAGTGGCAGGGTACTCAAAAAGCAAGACTTTTAAAAAAATCATTGAGCAAAGAAAAAGAAAACAAGTTTATTGGGGATTAAATGGAAATTTTTGTAAAGTTACAGACACGCCTTTGTATGCGTGTATCTAAACCCTAACTAGTGAGGAATCAAACAGAAAATAGGATACATTCTTGTTTCTCATCATTTGTAAGAGCTGCTTGCCATCTTCACATATTGAAATAATCTAGAATTTTTTTGTAGGAATGGAAAAATGTCCTGGTGAGAGAAGAATTCTTTTGTAAATAAGTGTCTGAGATACCTCCGTCTGGACGAAGACATGCTCTGTTTTATAAGAAGTGTCAAGCACTGAACTTATTTCTTCTTATGTTTTTCAGTAAAGGAAGAACAAAAACTAGTCCAAACCAGTCCACACTGTGGATTTCAAAGAGCACCAGAAAGGAAAGTGGCATGGAAGTATAATAATTCACCGACTTGGCTCCAGAAAAGAAAATAGTCTTATAATTCTGGATCCGTATAAGGAATGGCATTGGAACATTAGCTTGGAATGGCTTGAAATCTTAAAGGATCTGCAAGGTGAACTGTAAGCTCCCCCTTGAGGCAATTATTAAAATACTTTTTATATGTTTATTATTTCATTTACAAAAATATGCTGTGCTAATAATGGAGTGATACTTGCTTATTTTGCTAAAGGATGCACCCAAACTTCAAGAAAATGAAATGGACCATGCAGATAAAATTGCTGTCAGCACATCAGGAGTGTGTGTTGAAAGCAGTTATTTTTATTTCTCTCACCTTTCATAAGTTGTAATTTAGTTAATGTAATATAAATTGTATTGAAATTTTCAGTCTGCAAAAACATTTTACCTTTGCATAAGCATTTGATAAAAAATGGACTCTTCTAATATTTATTTTTATGACATTCCATTTTTCAATACATGCTGTTTTGATTGAAGAAATGTATCACTGTTTTCAACCGAATTCACATACACACACAAATATATTACCATAGGAAAATTTCTTTTCTAGAAATGATTCATCTTCTTTCAGTTTCTCTGCTTCTGGTTAGATAATGTTTAGGAAATCTCTTCAGAAATAGGAAGCTGTTTCATTAACTGTGGTGTAAATCTCCAGAAATGTTTTCCTTAGAGGCAAGAATTGTCTAAGTTCAATTGTGCAAGACATGTGCCTTACAATTATTTTTAGTTTGAAATTCAACAGATTTTGTAATGAAATAACTTTACTAATAGCTGTATAATAGTAATGCAGTAAATATTGAACAAAAATGTGGCATAGACAATATTAATCATATGTCTTCACATGTTGCCTATATAACTACAAATGGCTCTCTGAGGATTCTAGAATCAACCGGGTCCCTCCTTTACTGCCTGAACAATGGTAGTTATTTGGGTTGTTGATTGACATTGGAGGCAGATCAGAAATTGTCTAAGGTTTTTCTCACTGAATTTAGCCTCTATATTAGTACATAAAAAGGACGTATAATTGGGACCAGGTGAATGACCGCCACCAGAGTGGAGCTAAGCACAGTACACTGATATTTCAGGATGGAAACATAAACACCCCCAGGTTAGAGGAATTAGTGTGGTGTGTGTTAGAGGTCATCAGGGACTTAATATTCATTGATGAGGATTTGTTGATGGTAGTAAACAGTAGCTCCTTTCTGTCGAATCTTCTAGTTTCTTCAATGCTTGTGACTTGTTCTTCCCAAGTTGTTACTATTTGGTCTTCAAATGTCCCTGTGCTCCTTTTAATCAAATAAAGAGTTCTTGTTTCTGAAGAATGATTATTGGTGGTGTCTGAATCTCTTACATCAACAATATTCAGGCATGTTTCGTCACTACATGAAGATGAAACAAAATATTCCTTGAATGTGGTAAGAATAAAGTTATAGAGAAACAATCTTTTCCTTGTCAATCTTTTTCAACAGGGGAATAAGGTGTTTTTCTGGAGTAAAGTAACTGAGTTCTTTGACAAAACTAAGACGCAAAATAGAAAATAATAGGCAGCAGCGCCTTTTCAGACTGAGAGAATGATCAGCTGGATTTTAAGCTTAGGTCTGCCTGTGGCTACTGCTTTGGCTTCCCGACCTTCTGGGTGGGGTGGTGGAGAAGCTGCTGTGATCTACATCCCTCCTTGCAGTCTACTGCCATGTGTTTCCTCCTTTAGTCAGGACTTGATGAGGGGGAAACTAGACTTTCCTTTCTGTCCAAACCACCTGGTTTTATAACAGCTCCAAGCACAATGATTTTGATTTGCCTTTTATGTTTATTCAGGTCTTGGTAATGCCTCTGGTATCGGTGACTAAACCCGTACGTGAGTAAGGATGGGAAATAAACTTCCTCCTCATTGGAAGGTGGTAGCGATGCTTTCCTAAACATTTCTTAAAATTTTATTGAGCTTTATAAAATGAAAATGTGTACAAAGTATGTCTGTTTCATTTGTGTTTTCAGCAAACACTTCTAATATATGTTGGAAATGTAGGTAGAATACAGAAAAATCTTCCATATTTGACCCAAAGAACATACTGTCCTTCTAAGGCTCCATCCTTCTTTTTAGAATGGGTCATTAGAAAGTTCTTAAGAGGAATATGTGCAGGGACTCCTGCTTTTTGTCTGAAGAATAAATCCCAGCATACTGGGAATTTGGTCACAGTGTCTTTAGATAGCAGTGTTTCCCTTTCTCTAACTGCTGCCCAGTGAGAGCGTCTTTAGGCACACAACGCACGATTCTCCACTCGCCTCTCTTCCTGAGCTTGTTGGGTCACCTGCATCATGCTCCCCACTAGGTCTTACATGCATCAATAATAATCTTCCCTTTGCATGTAGCTCAAGTTTCTCTTCTTTAAGCCCAACCCGTACTAACTGGTCCCTTCTTTGAACTCCTCAGTCTTGCCATTTCATTATATTTGCTCACAGAGGAAAGTGTGTTTGCTATTAATGAGGTACAAGTACATTCTCCCACAGATTCTTCCTTACCACACATTCTGTGTCTGTGTAGTGAGCTAAATAGAAGTTTGCAGTTACTCTGGAAATGTTTCAAGGAGTTAAAGAAGTGAAGCAAATTCATTTATTACACATTTTTGGCCTTCTAAAGGGCAATTCAGCTGTGTCTAAGTAAGTTTTTCACATGCAAAAAATATCCACTGTAACACACATAAACTGAGGAAAACATTTCTAATAGTTTTATTTTTTAGCTTTATTTGATTATTTTTGAGTCTTGAAAATACGAACTTGAAGCAAATGGAAAGTATGAATAATCCAGATAAAACAAGGGACAGGATAGAATGACCATACAAGTTAGTTTACTTTTTAGTTTGAGTTATATATTTTTTAATGTTTTAAAGTTTTTAATGAGTTCTACATTGCCCTGTGTATAATTACTCTGTAGTTTTATTTGAGAGCATTACTCAGTCAGGGATATCCCAGTCAGGTTTGTGACATGAAGTCCCAATGAATATTTTTAACGAACCAGGAAAATAATAACTTCATGCCCAAGTTGAAATGGTTTTAGATGAAATGCATTTAGATGAAAACGCAAGGAAACCATTGATATTCTGGTAATACCAAGTTAAACTGAAGCCAGATGATTTATAGCACTTTATTTCAAACAATGACATGCTTTGGGCAACATAATTTATTTCACTTCCTAATATTTCTCAACTCATTAAAATATAGCATGTGTATTTAAAATAACATCCTTTTAAATAGCAAAAAATGGTAAAGTGATTAAAGACAAATGACATGATATTCTGTTAAAATACACTGATTACCAACAAAATAAAAATGTACTTTAAATTTCCTTTGTATTGGAAAGATTCATTATAGTTATGTGTTTTGTTCATTCTTCTTGCCCTGGCACTTAGGTGGCTTAGATAAAAATAAAATCTTTCAATAATTTTTTTTCACATAAATGCCTGTTTCCATGATCGAATGAAATGTGAAAAGTGGACCATGTTCATTTTGGGTTTAAAAACCACTGTCACGTAGAAAACTTTCTATCCACTGTGTGAACCTAGAGACCGAAACATACACCCCTGCGCGGTTAGGCTGTGCACACTGGTATCCGAACGACGTCACCCCGACAAGAAACCATCTGTTGTTTTCTCGGCACATTAGTGGTCCTCCCGAATCTCCCTGAAGAGTGAAGCACAAAGAGAGTTGTGGTATGAGGTCAATTTATTTAAGTATGTAAGAGGGTTTTTTTTAACAAATTAATCAAAAATAAATATTCAGAAACATGATTTAATTGCAAGTTACCTCTATCTATCTATCTATCTATCTATCTATCTATCTATCTATCTATCATCTATCTATCTATCATCTATCTATCTATCTATCTATCTATCATCTATCTCATCTATCTATCTAGCTATTCTCATTTTAGATCATGAAACACACATTTGATTCTCAGTAAGAAGACAAAGTATGATGCTTAAGACATAATTTATAATTTTTTAATTTATATACTTTCATAGTGCACTTTTTTAGCAAGCACCTCCTCACCTAAATTATGATATTTTAATGGGTACTCAGAAATTCTATAAAGCACAATGAAAAACATCACTACAAAAATATAAATTAATTACCTTCCTCAAGAAGATATCATCCATGCATCGTGAATGTCTTTATAGACAAATTAGTCCACAGTTTGATTTTAGAAGAATTAAAACCTCACAAATGATTTTGCTTATAGCTTTTTATCCTCCTGGGTAAAATTAGCTTTTTGGCATTGGCTACATACAATCAAATTTGAAACTTTTAATATTTCAACTGAAATAGGCAAACCTTTGATATAATTTGTACTCATAAGAACACGTGCTTTCATCAGAGATTTCAAGTGATGGAGAAATGTTTTTAATTTTTGTAAATTAATTATAGCTCATCCTATTAAAATTAATTACATAAATTTTATTTGTACATAATGATTGCTATGTGATAAAATGAAGATAATACAGATATATAGTTTCATTATTTAATTACATAAATTGACAAATATTAAGTGAATTTTTTAAAATTAATTTTTAAAATATTTATGAAAGAATTTAGAGCCTACTATGCTTTGTTTGAAACCATTGGTGTAACAATATATTTCAACCCTTAGATTTATATTAGAAAATATACTCAGAGACTTTTTGCCTAATTATCATCTTTGGTCCATGTAGTATATTAAAGGGATATAAATGTATCTTATCAAAACACCTTAATTTTTCCCTTGGGTGCAGGGGAACCTAAGTTACATTGGCAACCATGTGTTACCTATATTCTAGATGTAACAAATCAAGCTGTGTGAAGACAGTTGTTAAGCTTTGCATCTTAAGGTCTTAAGTGTAAATGAGTTGTGAAATATTTATGGACCAGTATATATCCAAGACTCAAAATATATTATAAATGGCTTATAAATTATTAAAAAGAATTTTCAATTGCTTGGATATTTTTCAAAAGGTGTCACTTGATTCACTTCACATTTAGTAAAATAATTTCATTATGATAGATATGAGGGATACAGAGATTAGTTATATGGACAAAGATTTTTAACTACACTGGGTCATTTACAGTTGCTCACATACCATGCAGCAGGGCTGCTGCCTTTCTGTCTATCTGGCTGGGACACCTAGTCTGTCCACCATTTCCCAGCTAACTACATCATTTCAACTTAGTTTTGTAACTTCTTGTCTTAAATTTTGTATTGTTTTCAGGGATATTTCTTTCTTCCACTATCTCAAGGATGTATAACCACTGCAAAAATAAAAGAAATATCCAGAAAATGAAATATTAACTATAAAA